TCATTTAGATTGGAAAAGACCTTTAAGATGAAATCTTAGCTGTAATGCTAACACTGTCAAAACCACATCCCTAAGCACCACATTTTAATTTCTTCCAAATACCTCAAAACTGGTGAACCACTTTCCTGGGCAACCTTTTCCAGTGCTCCATACCCTTTATGTGAAGAAACTTTTCCTAACATCCAGTCTAAACCTCACCTGTGCACCATAGGGCCACTTCCTCTCATCCTATCATTTGTAAGTAGTATCAGAGGAGAAGCCTCAAATGACACAGTAAATACACTCTCTGATACAGCCTATTAAGGAGAGGGGCAGAGAGAATTTAAAGCAAAGCTGTAATACACCAGCTTTACTTTATCAGCTTTTGTATTGGATCCCAATAATGAGCAGAGATGTTTCACAGTAGCTCAAAGCCCACTGTGAAAGAAAAATCAATTTCTGGTTGAGGTTATAAAGGTTCCTATTCTGATTTTACTTACTTGGTGTCTAACATTGGAATTTTTCCCTACTTCAAATAATGTTATAAGAAATAGCACAGAAAAAAGGGGAAGCTGTAAATGCATTTATTTGGGGGAAAAACACTAGAAAAAGGGAAGGGGTGCTACATTCATGGTAGCAATGCTTGCTTGAAGCTCAGAAACAGGAGAAATGTCAGAGTCTCTTCCAGATCTCTTCCCCGAGAGAAAGTGGGAAGAAGAGAATTATCCAGAGAGAAGCAAGTGGATGAGTCTTTTCTGGGTAAATAGCAGAAGTGTCACCTTCTCTGGAGGATATTGGTTACTGGAAACAGCACAATACAAAACAGAGTCTAGGCTCTTTGTGATGGTAATGAGTCTTTGTTTTAAAAGCTGAGGTAAACTATAGTAAGTAGCAAGAACTTAGATTTCATTCCAATAAGGAGAAACTGTTAAGGACTGAAAGTTGGAAAGCAATGCAGATGAAAGTGATCATAAGGCAGAAGAGGAAGGGAAAGAGTCCAGGAGAATGAGGACGGTGGACTCAAACAAAAAAGTGTCAGACTTGAACACATTCAGAACTGTGAGGGATGGTCTCTTGGGAAGATAACCTAAGGTAGGGAGGAATGCAGAGGATTTGGTAGTGCTGAAAGGGACTGTACAAAAAGCACAATAGCAGCCTATCCTGGTACAGAGCAAAGCTAGTGAACATAGCTTGAAACCAATATGGTTACATTAGGAGCACTTTAAAGGCTGAACAATCAAAAAGCAACTGTATAGAAAGTGGGAACAAGGACAAGCAACTCAAAGTATAAAGGACTAGCATAAGCATGCAGGGATAAATCAGAAAGGCTAAGGCACAAGTTGAATTACAGCTAACAAGGACATAAAGGCAACAAAGACTCTATAAATACATTAAAAGGAGAGAGGAAAGAAAAGCATAAGCCCACCAGTTAATGGAGATGAACAAACTGATGATGCTGAGAGTGCAATGTTATCTCTCTGACAGCCTGCAAAAAACAGGTTGGTTGTGACCCAACACTTAACACTATCATAATAAGAAGGGAGGTGGACAGAATAGGGAACAAGTTGCAAACTGCTTAAACAAGTTAGGGCTTGCCAGCCCAGGGATATTAAAATATAGTAAACTCAGGTGTGAACTGTGACTCAGCACCAACCACCAGTGCTGCACATCTGTATCCCCAGAAAAAGTGGGTGCAAGTGGAAGCTTGTTGGTGTCTGACCTTGTCAATGAGGTGGGGATAATGACACACCCAGAATACTTCTGAAGATAAGAAGAAGTACATATTCACAACGGCAAATTTCAACATTCTTAAGACTTTTTTTTTGGTTTTGCCAATTCCTTGAATCTGTTCATCTGAGAAGTGTGAAAAGGGCCCCACGGTACCAGTTCAGTGCAATTGGGTAATTCCAGCTTTGCTCTGCCATTTTCCATGGAGTCTGGCCTTCAAAGAAATATATAGCAACAGTTCCTGTAGTCAGAAACACAACTCCTTGGTGTTATCGGATGTGCTACCCAGCAGTTGCTGCTGCTAAGTCAAGGTATAGACAACTTCTTCTGCTCCAAGATGTTGTAATCTCTCTCCTGGCTGGCCAGAATGTTTCCCTGCCCACCATCCTCCATATGGCACAGACCAGAAGAAGTGTGTGCTCTCAGGACTCCAAGTTTTAACTGTCCTCTATTAATAACCCAGATTTTCCTCTCTACAACAAAGTGACTCCACAGCATTTTCTGGTAAGGGAAATTATAGCTTGGCATCTGTTCTTTTCACTGCCAGAACCAGATTGCTCATCTTATTATATCTTACAAAATTGCTCAAGACCTGCAAGGAGAAAATGGATTTTCAGTTCGGTGTTTTTTTGTTTTAATAGGCACACTTAAGATCATGAAAAGCACCGTGCCACTCCCAAACACACCAGTGCTTTTGCAGGGACAGACATCATAAGGATTTTAGGAAATAAAACAGAGGAGCTTCAAGACATAACATCCCAACACTGATAGCAAGATCATCTGCTTGATTAAAAAGCTCTGTATAGTGCTGTCCCATCTCAGCCCAGCTGGGAGCAAGTCTGCTACTCAGCTCTGGCTGGTGAGTGAGCACAGCAGAAAACATCTCACAACACGTAAAAAGGACATCTCATAGCTATTCCCTTCTCTTGCAATCTCTTCATTTACAGGTGAACTAAACTCCCACAGCTGGGATTTCTAACTGAGACACAAAAGAACTTTTAAGAACATGACACAATGGCACAGGTTCAAAAGAGGAAGCACCCTGGCAGTCAGGATTTACATCCCTATCCAATATCACCCATGTTAGGGGATAGAAGGACCACACAGCCAAGAGCTGTATATCTGCATTTAACTGTGCTCTCTGCTGAATAGAGGTTACATTAAATCAATAGAGAAGATAATTCTTGACTTTTATCCTGCTGCCACACCTTGCCAGTATGATAAAGTTGATAACCACCTGCTGGATTACACATGGCTTTCCTAAGCCTCTCATGAATCAACAACAGAAATAAAACTCCAAGAGATCAAGATCTGTGGAAAACAGCATACCCTTGAAGGTAATGTGTCTTCTACAAAATCTTCACAGAATAAAGTTAATGTCTCCATTCCAAGTCATTTGAATTTCTTTATAGGACAGTCCAGCTGTTGTGTTTTCCAAATGTCATCCAGAGAATAGGGAATATTAATAAATAGCCATTATCCATATGGTACTCACACCATTTGCTTGTATCTCATGTACTGTTGCCCCTGCACCACAAACCTACACAGCCTGAAGACTCAGCCTGTAGCTGGCCATGTCCCAGAAGCATTTCCAAGAGGCAGCACCCACACACAGACCCCAAAGCAGTAGACAAGCTCAGATTAGAGTCCAGGTCCTGCATAATAGATCAGCCTTTGGTGACTGCTGCGATCACCAGAACATAAGTCAGGAAAATAAAAATGGTCAGAATTCCAAGTCAAACTGTCCCACCTCTCTTAGGCTCACACTTCTGATTTAGCCTCTTTACATTTCCTCTTCCCCATCCCTTTTCAGGCAGGCTTTAGCAGAATCCAGAAGGGAAACCCACAAATAGAGTATAAGCTTCTAAAACAAAATATGAGCTCTAAAATCGCCATATTCACATTATTGAGGAAATGATTGCTATAAAATTGCCTTGAGAGACTGTCTCTGTCACCTTCCTTGGGTTCCCAGTTCAGCAGGTACATTCAGCTCAGGGACACCCATGACTAACAATGCTGCATCCTGCTTGCTGGTCAGCAGCTGAGCACAGGCAGTTTTTCCTCCCTCTTCTGAAGCATCATAGAAGCAGCACACAGGATGCTTCCCCTTCCAGGAGGAGCAGCTGGAACCACCTCAGCAAAGCAGAGGGTCAGGGTAAGAAGTACTGTACCCTGGAGAGATGCAGCCTCTGTTCCACAGGTGCACTGTGCAGCTGAGCCAGGTAATGTAGCTGTGCTGACACATAAATCATGCATTAGCACTTTCATTCTCTGTCCACAGGGCACACAAAACTAACCAGCAGGGTGCACACCTCAGTTCAGTAGCAGAGCTGCTGTTCCAAGAGCATTCATTAAGTGCAAGTGGCCAAAGGAGTCAGACACAGCACGGTGGCCATTCCCCTTCAAGTGTTTTCAAAAGACGCTGATTTTTCTAATCTTCTGGCATTTGATATTAACATAACACTCCTTCACCAGTTTCATCTCCCTGCAGCACAAGTCTTCACTACCTAAAAACTTCACTACTGCTTCTCCCAAAGGACTCCAAGATCTGCACTAGTCTTCATATGTGCAATCACAACCCTTCTCATACACACAGAAATCCTGCACTGCACTGAGAAAGGATACAGTCTGCAGAAATCTCCTTTCAGCATAAAGTTTGTGCTCTTTATACCAATGATTTTAAGATTAGTCTGAACTGTAGACAGAGGATCAGTGGTTCCACTCCACTGCCATTCCTTTCTGTTAATTTACAATTGGGTAATACGGAACAGCATCAAATAATGAAAACAGCAAAATAATGAAAGATAAAACACAAGGGGGTTATAGGAGCTGCAGCTTCAAGTGGTATTTGCCAAAGTTGTTTTGGCCAATTTAAAATCAGTAAAAGCACTCTGCATTCCAAGGGAACAGACACCTGTAAGCAATTTGATAAAAGAAGCTATAGAAAATGAGATAAGAGAAAGGCTATGACTGAGCTGAGTTCAGGAACATAAAAAATAGTGGGACCAATTCCAACCAAGGCTCAGTCTGCACAGCTCCACCCAAGGTTAGAGGGACTGATGATGTTTACAGTTTACCAGACTTGAAGACTTTGAAAAGAAATCATGAAATCCAGAGATCACCTCTATCAAATGAGGAAGTGTTCATTGAATGCCCTGAGAACTCCACCATTTAAACCTCAAAAAAAGGAAAAAAATACCACCACCTACAGTCATTAAAACTGTTTTAAAAAGTCAAATTTTGATTGCAGAAACATAATCTGGAAGCAGTCTGTGAATCTGAATTATGGTGAGTCATGCATATTTTATTTCCCTCTTCAAATGTAAATGAATGCCTAATGTATTTAAAGTTTCATCTATTGCCAGGTTGTTTTACCAGCAGATGTACAAAAGGAAAGAGATGACAAGGAAGCTAGAAGCAAGACATTTTTCTCAGTACTTGAAATCCTGAGTGTGGCAGCACAGTAGATATAGCCATGGTCCACATAGCCTAAATGGTAGAGAAAAAGACAAAGGAAAGAGTAAGCAGTCAAGGAGAATGGGAAATTTAAAAAATCTTTATTGTTACTGGGATGAAATGCAATGGGTTGAAGCCACAGCTGTGTGTCTTGCTGTGCTTACCCCAAACCACCTTGATGTTCTCTCAATGAACTGGCAGGTTCTGGTCTCTTGAGTACCTTGACCATCCTGAAGTTTTCTCCAGTGCATGGGAAGTCATTTCCAGGAACCAAAAATACCAAAATACAGCCATCATATCCTCCTTCTTTCCCTGATCATGTATCCAGTTTCTGTGTAGGACATTTGGGAAGTTAGGCAGCACAGGAAACTTGGAAGGTGGAAAACACATGGGGAAAGGAAAAGGATGTTTTTAAAACTTCCCATCTGGTTTGCCTCACCAGATAGCCCAGATTCTCGAAATGTGGTGCAAAAACCATCTGCCTGCCTATTTGTGCTCTGGAGAAGCCCCAAGGAGCCTGCAGAGAGGGCAGGGTGGCACAGACCAGCCTACAGATGTAGAAGAGACGATGAATTGCCACAGCTTTGAAAGAGTAGCCAGGTCTCAGAAAAATATCCTGTCCAAGAGACAGAAACAACTCAAGGCCTTGTAGGGAAAGCAAAAAGCAAGTTTTAGTTTGGCAGCCTCTGAGCCCCACACCTATTCTATCTCATACAGCACCAAGGCTTTATCATGACCAAGAGGGCTGGAAAATTACCAAATCATTGAAAGTAAATGAGTATTTCCAGTAACATATTCCTTTCACCTAGTTTATTCCTAATGACTAGAAGCCGCTGCTCACGGAACAGTAGGCATGAGAGATGGAAGGAAACCAAAGGACCAATTAGGTCATTAATCCATCAAATTGACAGCAAATTAGTTCCTAGACCGTACTTCTTACTGTTTTGTCCAGTTTGCCTTAAAAAAGCCCCAGCAATGGAGAGTTTATCCATTCCCTTAAGGAAATCACCCACAGCTTGATAAATATCTCTCATCAGGACAATTTCTATTCTTTCCAGCTTAAAGTTTCGCTTTTTCTTAGTTTTATGTTGCTGCTCTCAGCAACCTTTTGTAGGCCCCTCCTTAACACACATTCAGCAAGTGCACATGCATCCTTCCTTGCCCTAGTCATGTAAATTATATTGAGTAATTTCATGCTTTTCAAATTCATTTTATTCCAGTCCTTTAGATGCAGGAAAGAGTGGTAGCTTTTTTTGGGATATTTTCCCCCCTGAACTTCCCTTCTACCTGTCTCTACAACCTGCTGTCCCACTGGATTTGAAAAAAAACTGCTACACCAATCTGCTGAAAGTAGTAAAACAAAAAGACACAGATGATTATGGAATAATATCAAGTGCACCAAAGTCATTCCAGAGGGAAAATATAACACAGACATTTTTCTTCTTTCACGAGACAATGGGATGGAAGATTGTCTGGATGTTCACTCGTCTCTCAGTAGGAGGTGCTATTCAAATGCACCTTTACCTGCCTAGCAGAAGGATCAGGCCAGCCTCTGAGTAAAAAGAGAGTAAAAAGACAAGCATGAACCCAAAAAAACCCTCCCAGGCAAGCACGTTCCCTATTGACACCACTACATCCAGCCGGCAGATTTGGCTCTCAAAGCACCACTCCTCCTTCTAGGTCAAGTCTCAACCTCCCCATGGGCAGAAATGGAGAGCAGCTGCAGTAATTGCTTGTGGGACAGATGACTGTGGTCAAGGTCCAGGCTGCCCTTTGCTAGTTGCCAAAAATCTCAGCTGAAGACTGGCTACACACTGTAGAAATCAGAAGGGACAGAATTCCTTCCAGTCTGAAGGCTGGAAATGAGAGAGGGATCACACACCACAGAGCTCCAAAATGAAACAAACCATTCTAACAAGATGCTTTTGATTAAGCAGGAAATAAAGATTAATTTCTTCGTGCAGCATCTAACAGAGTTGCTGCCTGTAATTAGAGGCGGAGGAGTGCCACAGACAGCACAGCCTCTGGGTATCCCCAGAGATTCCCAAGGGTGGCAGTTCTTCTCAAGGTAATTACCCATGGACTTGCCCAAGCAGAAATACTCAAAACACACTACACAGTAGTCCAGCCCCACTGAAAGAAGAAGCTTGTGCAGTTTTCTGTCTGACAGCCAGGGCAGCACAGCCACATAGGCCATTCCCTGCAACCCCACTGACTTAGGAGGGAGTGGCATCCACCAGCCAGAGCACACCTGGGAAAGGATGAGCTCTTGTTTCTGTCTGTCCACTGCTGGCCACTTTGTTCATCTGGAGGGCAAAGAAAATAGATGCTTTCATGGGACTGGAGAGGCACAAGCCACTAGGAGAGTCCAGAGGTGGTTCAGCTTCAGGTAGTGTCTCAGCTTTCCACAGAAAGACAACATTGTCTGTTCCTTGCTGAGAACAGTAGTTAAGGATCACAAGTAATAGAAAACTGCTCCTGACAACACCAGCTCTGTCTCCTCCTCACATGGATGGAGGAGATCTCATTAATGCATTTTTACTCCACACTGTCATAATCTCTCTTGACTTTCAATGGCTTTGAGCTACAACCATACACCTTGAAGAACCTGATAAACTCAACTTTAAACTGATTATTGAAATATCCAAGCTGTTCATGCAATGACTGCCAGCTGAAGCTGCACTCTCTTCACTGCTTAATCTTCACTTACAGTGCCAGAATTCATTTGTTCTTTCCCACTGCACTTCTTATACCCAACTGTGCATTCCCAAACCCTCACACATACCCCTCTTCCCACCTCCAATGAGCACACTTACAGGATTTCTGGAAATAGCTTATTTAAGGGAGAGAGTATTTGTTTCAAGCAAAGAATAAAAAAGAAAAAGCAAAAGGAACAACTCGATTACTGTTTAGTTGAGAACAAAACTAGAGCATCTTTGATAACTTCATGTACAGAAGCAGCAGAACTTCATATTTAATTATTTTCCACTTCCTCTTCTGAATTCCTAAGCAATATTAAGTAGCATCAGCTCTCCACACTGCCAGAAGCAATTGCATTTAGAAGTAAGATGTCCCAACATAACTTTAAGAAGAAACTATAAACACCAAGATGTAGCTACCACACCCAGCAAGGGGAATGGAGCTCTTTCACTACCCTGCCACCACCTATGGCTCCAAGCAATCCATGGACTTACCTGAGCCTTAAGGCCTCATCTGAGTGAGATATTCCCACACCTCTGCCACGATGGACAAGCCCTTCCTCTTTCCTCTAAGTTACCTCCAGCTCCTTTCATTCTCCTGCAGACCAAGAAACAGAGGGAAGAGGAACTCAGAGCTCTCAATCCAGAAGCATCCTCCACATTGCTAACCTCTTGCTCCTCCTCCCCATTGCAAATTTGAGGGTTCTTTTCCTTTGCAGCTGTTTCCAGTCTCTCCTGAGAGCCACAGAATCAAGGGCAGACAGCTGCAGCTTTCTGCAGAAAAGGTCACTTGCTGACTGCTTGCCAGGTGAGGGACAATGTCCATCCCCCTGAGGAAGGCAGATGCCATCTCCTCTGCCTGGCATTTGCACAGTGCTTTGGAACACAGCTATGTAAATGTACAGCAATCAGGGATGTTGTTTAAATCCTGCAAACCTACCCAAAGCCAAGAGGGCAATACATTCAAGTATCTAGGTCTGTGTACTTAACAATCAGAAATGAAGTGCAGGGCCTGTAAGCAAGTCTAGGTTTGCTCAAATCGATGGCCAGCACTTCACCACAGTTTTGCTGAAAAGCAAAATTCTCTCCAAAGAGAACAATGTTCAAACCACTTGAAAAGATCACGTGACAATGCAATTTGTCATTGCCAAGGCCAGAAAATTATCCAACCCATCAACCAGCATGTACAGTCTTTGCAGGTGGGTCAGTGAGAGCCTGAGGCACAGATCAGCAGGTACAGCAGAGGTCAAACAGCACTATGGTGGGGCACTGAGGCCAGCAGAAACTGTGAGCACACGTGGATTCGAGGACACCACTTGACAAAGTGTCATTTTCTACTTCTCTTCCACTGAAGCTATGGGAACACTACCACTGCAACACTCCCCACCTTCTCCAGCCCAATTAAGTCCCACATAAAAGATCTGGCAGTGGTGATTTACCCAATCCCCCTCTGCAATGCAATCAGTTGTTTAGAAACATGAGTCCTGAATTCCAACTATTGTGTCCTCTTATGTTTTTGCCTCACAGATCAAAAAGCTTTTTGCACATTTTCTGTTATGTAACACAATCCACTGACCTAAGACATTTGCCTTTATTAATAAAATACCCTGCAATGATACCTTGAAAGTCACAGGTAAAAAGTGCTAGCACTCCACGGGGCAATAGATGTGAAATACTCCAGTATTATGTCCAGGGCTTTCCATGCAGCTCCCTGTTTAATGAGTCCATCACCAGGTTTAATGACCTGCCAGAGCTTTAGAAACACTCTTCCCTCCTCATCAATGATTCACATGCAGTCTTAAAGCTGTGCACAGATTAAAGAGGCTGCTGCTCTCCCACCTCGCTTCAACCCAAAGTGGTTTTAAATATTTCATCTCACCACAGAACTCTTCTGTACACATCCCAAAGGTGCTCTGAGCAGCTCTCACCGGGAGTTCAGCATTACCTGGCAGAGGGCCTGCTGGCACCACAAGAAAGCTGTCACTGCCAGGCATGCCCACATCCTATATTTACTTTCTTTAATGAGTCCTGCATGACCCCAGCTGCTGAGAGTGGGGATAGGATTTTCTGGGATAGTTGATGCTTTGTATTGAAAAACAGATGGAAGGCCTGATTGCAGGGACAGAACAAAGTACCTGATCTGTAATTACTGGGGTCAGTAGGAGTTTTCCTCTGACTTCAAGCAAAATGGAGTCATGACCCTCTTCTTCTCAGCTCTGAGGGGATTTAGAGAGTATCCAGAAACACAGACTGGATCTTGCACTCCCCAGGTGAGCATGTCAAGGATTAGCAGTCTAACAGGATACCCATAACACCCTCTCAGGTCTTCCTGTGCAGCAGCCCTGGTGTGAGAAGTCTGATGGTCCAGGCTGCCATGGAGACTCCCCCACTCCCTCCCTCCCCACACAAAGCAAGACTCTGCCCTGTGCTGCAGTCCTCATAAGCACTTTTTTGGTCCCAGGGAAAAGAGAGCAAAGCAGCACAGGGAAGAGGGTGAAAAGACCTCGAGCCATCCCTCAGCTTTGTCACCAATGGCAGGATTTTGCTGATACCAGTCCAAGCCACCATTTTGCCTTCTCCCAGATGGGAATGGTATCAGCAGATCTCACATTCCAAGCCTCTGCCAGCTCAGTGGTCCATGGCTAACAGCCACAGTCTCTACATGCCCATGGTCATTCAAGGTTCCTCAGAAAATCACCCTGGGGTTCTCTGGAAAATTCCTGACCTTTGGATTTTCATTTAAATCAACTTAAATCTTCAGAACCTCCATGGCGCAGAAGAGTCTGCCCCACACAGAAAAAGTTCCCTTTGCAGCATCTGTCCATGGTCAGGAATGTGGTTGAGAAACCACAGATGATTCCCCTACACCGCCAGGGACAGTACAGCAGGCAATACTTGGTCACATCATTTTTTTGGCCTCACTTCTTCTCTGACCTTTTAATGGAAAATGTGGGAAAAAGTCCTTCAAGAGATGGAGTCACATCAGTCCACAGCAGATTTGGCCAAATCATGAAAAATGTTGTTTGTTGCCACACTTAGAAAATGAAGCCTTGACTTCTCCTGTGTAATTTAGCCTTTCCTGTATAAGGAAAGAGTGATGACCTCTTTAGACCTTCAAAGGGTAGACCTGATTGAGAGACAATACAAAGATCCCTTTACTTAGTGCAAAGCCAAACAAAAGTGAGCAATAAAGCACTGCAGAAAACAAGCAGGTAAGTACTTGCGTTTTATCTTCAGTCAATACCTTTTCAGCATGGCTGATCTCTGAAATCTGATTTCATGTAGTTCTGCAAATCCATACCCCCTGGGAAGCTTGCATTGCTCTTGCTGAGCATTAGCTCTCACTTCATTTGTCCACAGAATCTCTACAGAGCTGTCATCTTGACATCCAAACAAGCTTAAACAAAAACATAATCTCTCCATAAAGCACACCTCTCTTCTCAAATAGCTGCTGCTCTCAGGTGTCCCTTTCCATGAAATCCATCACCAAACCACTTTGCCTTCCTTGGTGAAAGGAGGACATTTAGAGAACAGAGCTCTGTAGCACGTCACAGTCTCAATTTACTGTGGCTCATTGCCTCTGTCTTGCTCACTCTAATCCTTCCTGGAGGTGAGAGGGCCATGGCATGGGTTCTTGGCCAGAGTCACTGCAGCAGCCATGGAAAGATTCATTGTACATCCTCACTGTACAACAGAGCCATCAAGAAAAGAATTAGGCAAGAGAGAGCATTCAGTTAAAGGGCTGTGTGATGAAAAACTGCACCTTGAGGTGGATGAAGGAACCAGATGATAAGGCAAGGAAATATCCATTGCCACCATGTCAATTCACTCCCTCCTTCTTTCATATCCCTTCTTGACTAGTGACTCTGGGCTTTCAATGCAAAGGAAGTGATCAGTGCAGTCCCACCCACACCCAGGAAACACTGTGGTTCCCCATTATCCCCATCAGCTCCAGCTGTCTTACTCTGCTCAGCACAGGGCCAATATCCATGGTTCTGCACAACCCCTGTCCAGAAATCCTTGCAGTTTAACCACAGCACCAAAACATTACACCAAAGGAAAGGATGCAGATGCTGGGCTGTTCCCAAACTGCCTTCCACATGTCCAGTGCAGCTCAGCCAGACAGCAGCACCCCAACCCTCCCAACAGGCTCCTCACTGGAGAAATGCTGCCAGCACCTGGGCACCCCACTAAGCCACCAGTGTCACCAGGCACTGAAACAAAGAGCCATCGGCTACCCACTGTGCTACCAAAAACCCTACACATTCAGGAAGTTTCAATCATATGGAAATCAAGATTTATCAAATCCCAATTGTCTCCATCCCCAGCAGAAGCTGGGTGACCTTAAAGAAGTTTTATCTTGTTTGAACTTATCCCAGGTTATGTAAAATTGCCGCAGTAGTCTCAAAGACGTGAAACATGGGTATGAGAGTGCAATTATGTTAGAGTTGATTGCATTGAGGAGTTAAGGTTAGTGGAACCAAACTCAAGCTGGTGTGAATCATCACAGTTCCACTGGAGGGAACAGTTACATTATTTACTCTGGATGAAAATCTGTTTCACTAAGTTGAACAGAAAGAGAAAAGGGCTATAAACAGAATCAAACTTATAAAACAGTAAACCACAATTTTCTGTCCTTAAAATAAGTCTCTCTCCAACACTAGATTTCAGAACTGGGGCCATGTCAGGTGAAAGGCAAGGCCCTCCATTTTCTTACTTATACACAGAAATAAAAGAAAAAATAACTTGATGACACCTGTCAGATATAATTCCCTTGCCACATCAGGAAGCAGAGCTCATAGAAGGACAGGCCCAGCTCACCCTCAGTCACCTGAGAACATGGTTTCAATATATTCTCCAGATGCAAAGCCAGCTCTACGGATTTCAGCACAGGTGTTGAATTTTGGAGACTGAGGCTCCATGCTTGCTTCTACTACAGCTGCTCCTCAGCAAGGCTTTTCAGTTGTGCACTTATACCAATGAATACCTATGCATAAAATATCCTCAGCTGAGGACCAGGGACTGGTGCCCACAACATTGGGTTCTTCCCTCCTGGACATGCCCTCTCACCTTCCTGCTCTTCCTCTTTTCACTGAATCACTGGAAATTCCCCGAGGAACCAGGATCAAGAACAGACCTGCAGCTCCTTATTTCTGATGCCCAGCTCTGCCATATCCCGCTTCTTCCCACCGCCCAGGTGGAGAAAACTCCTGAGAGCTCTGTTTTCTGAGCCAGCAGCACGTTGCAGGTGGCTTGGTGCACTGCAGGGTGTTGGATGGACCCAGCAACACCAGCAGTCAGAGGATTTCTCACACTAAATCTTTGGGGTGTAGGGCTGGGGTAACAGACAAGCTTTTGAGCACTTTAACCCTTGTCAAATCACTCCACCTACAAAAGTCTCAGACTATTCCAGTCAACTGATGGAGAGCTACAAAATGAGGATGAACACTTTGACTTTACAGTGCCCTGTAATGCCAGAAATTTACACCGACCTTGGTGGTCCCACAACATTAAACCACATAATGCACAGCTCCCCACCAGCCTCCATCCCCTGTAACAGGGCCAGACTTTGCACACTGGAGCATTAAATCAGAAATCCTCTGCTTCTCTGACATCATCATGGGACTCTGCTGCTCAGGTTTCCCTGCCAGAGGAGTTTG